TGGACTACAATTCCCAGTAAAGCCTGGCCAGCACAGCGAGGGGGTGAAGACTTCTGAGAGTTTTAGTCGAAGAACATCTGGGGACACAAGATTGGGAACCACTGGACTAGAACCTTGTTTCAAGTAATCTGCCTTTCGTAAAGCTCACCCTGCTTTAAAAGGATGCTGGCAGCTTGCTGATTTCCTTTTTATTTTTGAATTTAGAAAAAAATTATTTCAAAATTGAATTAAATTGAATTTTTAAAATGTTATTAATTTTTTAAATTTAATTATTTAAATTTAATTAAATTAAATCAATTTAATTGAATTTTTAAAAATTTAATTCAAAAATAAGGGCAACATGAAGAAAGGGTGGGGGAGAGAAAAGGGGATCGAGCAGTTAATAATTATCTGTGGAAGACAGTGCCTTTAAAATATTTTTCTGCTTTTATTTTTCAACGGGAGATGCAAGTTCTAGTCTTGTCTCTTGGGGCATGACCTACCCCACAGGCTTGTTGTGGCATGCATGGAGCGTCTCCTTGACCACACTGGAGGAAAGGTGGGATATAAATTTAAGAGCTCTATCAATAAAAAAGGAGATCCGAAGATGCACTGTAGGTGGGCTGAAAAGACATATTTGAGGAGAAGTAAGCAGGTTCAAAGCATTTACATGACAACCAGATCCTGATCAATAAAAGGCTCTTAAATGAACCATAGTTTGCATTTTGGGCAAGTTTGCACTTTTCAGCAACATTAGAAGAAACATTTACACTTTTCAGCACCATTGGAAGAAAAGCAAGGCTCCAAAAGTACTTTGCAAGGTGTTTTTTTTAAATTACTTTTATATGTTTTTGGAAAGAGTTCTGAGATGATGAGCCTCAGACTCTCCTAGGTTTTGCCTAGACCTTTATTGGCCTTCAGATGAATTTCACAGTGGTTTTTATCATTGGCAACTTCCCGTTAAGAGGCCACACAGACATAATCTGACTGGTGCATTGGGCCACATTGTCATGACAAGACAGGCCTTGAAGCAAACAGACAAAGAAAAAACCCACAGCCATTTATTTTGGCAACTACCCTTTCTGTCAAGTGTACGTTGGTCACCTCTTTCTCCCTACTGCTATGATCTCAAAGTCTCTATCCCTGAAAGAGCCATTGTACAGGCTAGGCATAAGAACAGAATGCAGTGACACGGAGCAGCTTACAATAAATATTTGGTGGTTCCTCTGACATGCCTTGGGAAGCGCAGGACATTAGCCATGGGTCTCCTCCTTCCTTTTTTGCTTTTGTTTGCCATCTTGCCTGGTAGAAAGTCTTGTGCTTGGTTTCATTCATTCATTCATTCATTCATTCATTCATTCATTCATTCATTCATTCATTCATTCATTCATTCATTCATTCATTCTATTTTTATACCATCCACTTAGCTGCAAGGCTGCTCTTATGATGGCTACTAGCCAGCCTGATAAAAGCATCACCCAAATCAGGAGCAAACCAAACATTCACTGTGGTCAGGCCGTTCCCGCAGGTACTGAAATGCTGGAGTGGAGTTCTATGCCGTTGGCAGAGCTTCCACTTTCCACTCACTGCCGCTGGGTCCCCTGTCATCGCCCTCCCTCCCCCAAGAACACATATGGGTGGGTTTCAAGGAAGAGGAGACTGCTGGGCTCTGCACCAGATAGTAATAGATTGGTTTCAATCGTTGATGGCTGCAGGTTCAGCTCTAGAGAGAGATGGCCGCAGGGCTGGCTGCTCACATCTGGGCCCTTGGAGCTGAGACCTCATGGGGAGTGACTAGGAGACAGCCACCAGCCACATGGTCTTCTGCCCTCCATTCCCCTCTTTAAGTGCTCCATCCCCTCGACATCACTGGAGGGAATGGGCAGGGGGTGCGGGTAGCAGCACTATCCTATTTCAGATGGCAGAAGTTGTGCTGGCACAAATGCAAATCAGTTAGTTAATGTTTGCAAGCTGTCAGAGATGCCTTCCAGCTGGCTGGATAGCTCAGTGGTTTAGGTCTCTGGCCATTGAGCCAGAGGTTGGGAGTTCGATTCCCCCAATGGGCCTCCTGCAAGTAGAGCCAGCCTGGGTGGCCTTGGGCCAGCTGTGCAGTCGCAGGATCCCCTCCAGGAGAAGGAAATAATGGGAAACCACCTCTGTGTGTTCTCTACCTAGAAAACCCTAAAAAGGGTCGCCATAAGTCAGAATGGACTTGATGGCACACAATTGTTATTATTAGAGATGCTTTCCATCATCCTTGTCAAGGATGATCAGGGAACCAATTACCTTGAGAGATAGCTCTCCAACACTGGAGGCATTCAAGGGGAAGCTGGATAACCATCTGTCAAATATACTTTAACTTGGATTCCTTCATTGAGCAGGGGTTGGACTTGATGGCCTCCGAGGGCTCTTCCGACTCCATTATCCTGCGATTCTAAGTGGGATGTGGCTTTTTAGCTAAGCAAGCTTGAAGAGGGCAATTCTGCACTTAACCACAAGAGAGCAATCTACACTCATGTTTAAATGATAATATCCTTACAACCTATGCACAACAGGAATGAGTAGACTTTGAGCTTGCAAGATCTACCGTTTTGGTTTGTTTTGTTTTTTTACAACTTGAACTTCAAAGAAGACTTTGAGCTTGCAAGATCTACCGTTTTTGGGTTTTTTTTTACAACTTGAACTCCAAAGATTCAACAACTGAATATGAAAGAAGAGTAGGAAGATTGTATGCTTACAGTTTAGGAAAAGAATGCTCTTTTGTTTTCGGTACCAGCACTAAGTTCACAATTCTTACTACACACTCACAAAAGCTACTGGTAAATCACCAGTAGATCCAGATCTGCCTTTTGCCCAACGCTTTGCTGCACAATTTTATCTACAATTTTATCTATTTTCTTATGAGCCTGTGAAATCAAGAAAGATATGTTTAATGTGTGTGAATATACCAAGTACTTAGATCTGAATCCAAATATAAGCCCCAAGAAGATGCGCCAGATCTACTAAAAATGTGAAAGCTATTTTATATAAACAAGTCATTAAAAACAGAAACAAAAAACACTCTTAACAATATACTGAGTAAGCTCCTTTTTGGAATAAAGAACTTGTAACTAAATCTAACTGAACACCTAAAATACACCCTCCCCCCCCAAAAAAAACCTACTGACTAGGTGCCACCAAAGAGCCATGTAATAAACAGAAGCAGTGGCTTTTCTGAAGCTTTCTTCAACCTTAACCATATTCAAAACTTAATAAAGCCCTTAATTAATCCCCAAACCTAATAAAACGATCATATAACCTCATATAAATAAGATGCGAATGTAAAAAATTAATGAAATTACACAAAATTAATCCCTGTCACCTATTAAAATGGGTTTTTCAGCTCTTCTAATTTTTGTTTTAAATTAAGATGTTCAGGGCGATTTATTGTAGATAATGTTACAGCAGTATAAAAGAGGCCGGAGGGTATTTTTCACCGGTTTCCATGAGAAATTACAAGTTCAGTGTTCAAAAATATTTGGTGCTCGAGGCAGTTTTGAAGATGTATATAAACAAGATACGGTCCAGAGATTTTGGCCATGAGAAGGGCATGAAAACAACCACTTTTCTCTCGGTCTTTCACATTCACCTGATTATTGTGTCAGTTCAGCATTTATAATGGCTTCATATTTCATCACTGGAATATTTTATCACCATGCTTCGTCAGTAATTGTTCCCATATTACCTTTTTTTACCATCGACTCGGGGTCTATGTGTGTAAAAGGGCAGCCACGCTGTCTGATTTTATGGTCAGGATCCTGGTGCCCTATAGGATTGTGGAAGAGCAATTGTTGTCGTTTAGTCATTCAGTTGTGTCCGACTCTTCGTGACCCCATGGACCAGAGCACACCAGGCCCTCCTGTCTTCCATTGCCTCCCAGAGTTGGGTCAAAGTCATGTTGGTCACTTTGATGACCCTGTCCAACCATCTCATCCTCTTGTCGTCCCCTTCTCCTCTTGCCTTCACACTTTCCCAACATCAGGGGCTTTTTCAAGGAGTCTTCTCATGAGATGGCCAAAGTATTGGAGCCTCAGCTTCAGGATCTGTCCTTCCAGGGAGCACTCAGGGTTGATTTCCTTCTGAATGGATAGATTTGTTCTCCTTGCAGTCCAGGGGACTCTCAAGTGTCTCCTCCAGCACCACAATTCAAAAGCATCAATTCTTTGACAGTCAGCCTTCTTTATGGTCCAGCTCTCATTTCCATACATTGCTACTGGAAAAACCATAGCTTTGATGATGCAGACCTTTGTCGGCAAGATGATGTCTCTGCTTTTTAAGATACTGTCGAGGTTTGTCATCGCTTTCCTCCCAAGGAAGAGCAATTACATAAGCTAATTTGCTTGCTCTCTATCATGTGCATACCCATGCGCTGGTTGCTCAATCGATTGTGCACACGGGATTGCCTATGTGCACAATGTACATACAGTTTGCATGATTGCCCTTCTGTGCACTAAACAGTAACTGGATTTTGGCCTATTTAAGTTTCCCCCAGAGCCAATATCACTGAATTCAATAGAGCTTAAATCCCAGAGCTGGAATGT